TATATATATATATACTTAAAATTCCCATATCCCATGCTACATTTTCACATGGTTAGGATATTGATTCATAACCAAACCCTGCTTTAAACTTGTACTGATGCTGTTTGGTCTCTGATTTTCTAACGTTTCCTTTATCAACCAGCTGGATTTATAATTAGTTTAAACTTGGCTTCTCTTGTGGAGGTAGCTGGTTGCACTGGATATTGCTTAGGAGTTTCATACTAAAGGGGACAGATTACAAATGTATGCAACATTTATTTTTATTAGTAAGAAATGAATCATGTATCATGTAAATGTATCACAATTATGCCCAACTTTGTGTCGGTTTTATTCTAATAAAATACACTGAAATTTAAGGCTGTAACGCCACATTTTTTTTCCCAGGCGAACGCCCTCTAGTCTTTGGGATGTCTGCCTTTTGTGATTTCATCTGTGGGGGTACAGGCTGACTAAACAGCATCAAAATCAAACCACTCCTTCTAGGAACCTCACTTTTTTTTCCCTCAGTGGTTGTAGTGCAAGCTTTTTTTACTTGCATATGCTTGCCAGTTTTATTGGGCTGAATCCAGTTGGATTGATATCCCGTTCCTGCCATTAGACGCAAGTAGAAAACAAAAAAGAAAAGAAGGGCAGACGTGTTGATTTAACACGCATGATGTCTGAGTTGGGTGATGCGATATTTGTTGAGTTTTTGACCAGTCCTTGGACAGAAACTCAAGGTTCGTACCTCAATCTCTTGCACTTGTTCCTCATTAGTGATGTACATCTGCTGTAAAGAGTCCTCCAACTCTTTGTTCCTCTCCAGTAAAGTCTTCCCCAGCTCTGCTGCCAGGTGGAGATCTGAGAAACAAAGAGAATCGGTGAATAAAGGGAGCCAGAATCAAAGAATAATGGGGAGAAAAAAAGAAAGAAAAGTGAATGATGAATGAATGGATGAATATTTATGCCACCAAATGAAAGGCGGAGCAAGATAGATTGTGGACTATTCTGGAAGTAAAATACTAAATATAGCAGAATAATTTATATTATCACTGCCAGAGTTAATGGTGAACATTGCTCTATTTTAGGTGAGAGAATAATAGAGTTCGGGACGATCAAACAGGTCGTCACGCCGCCTTCGTTCTGCAGCGAAGCGGCTCAATTATAGAAGAAAGGCAGAGAGCCAGGCCTCTCCGCTCCCCGGCGAGTAATGCATGAAGGTCAGGCGCCGATGCCAAAATAATTTCTCTCTCTGCTGAGATGCAGCACAGCGAGACGCTGGAGACTCTATGATGAAAGTTTAAAATAAAAGTGTTCTTTTGGCAGCGTTTCCATCCAGGCTCCCACACCGAGCTAAATGCACATCCAAAGTAAGATGAGTCACTGTCGTCGCTCTCTGTTCTAGCTGTGGCCTGACTCAGCGGACCTGGTGGCCCACATTGCCGGGCGTCAGCAAGATGCGGACTGCAGCATCTCTGGAAGAAAAAAACAAAAACAAAAAAAGGGCGCCAGAGGACATGCTTTATACATCCTGCTCCCGATGCTAATAAGGAGTGGTGAACATCGGATAGTACTCCGACTTGGATGTTTCTACTTGGGTTGTTTATTAGTAACCGTGAGTAGCAGAAACCCACTAACTTCTCCAGTAATTAGTCTGCCTAATATATCGAAATATATCACATTTATTTCATTTATCGAATGCATCACTGTTGTCCAGATAACGAAAGAAACTGAAGAAAACAACTCAGAAAATCGCCATTGCAATATTCAGCAACGGTTTCACAATTTCACGTTTACTTGACGTTGTGAGAAGAAGAAAAAAAAAAGTCTTCAACTGTGACCAATTTCTTTTCAGTAGGAATAAAGTTACTAAATGTCACTAGATGTTACAGTTAGGAACTTCACTTCTGGTACCAATTCCAGCAACTGGAACAAAAGAAACAAAAGATACTAAATGTGTCGTTGTGTGTTCAATTGCCAAAAAACAACGTTGCAAATCAATCTTTGTCGCTCAGCACAGACCTGAAACTGACCCACACAGGATGATGTCACACAGGGTGGAGACCCTTTCGTTTTTACACCATGTGTGAAGAGCTGGGACCCTCCCTCAGAGGAGCAGAGACCGTCTCTGTAACCTCTAAAATCCCTGTTTCCCCATAGCTTACAGCTATGACCTGATATGCCATATAAAACAACTTTTGTTTCCAGTCAGTGGATCCACTCGTAGAAGTGAGTTCATGGTTTTATACGTAAATATCCCGATGTCTTCCACAGCTGTGTTGTCTCGGTAGGTGCATATCACCCGTGAGATTCAATGGAATGTGGAAAACAGGACTTCTCGTGTTTCCATTTTCCTTTGCTGTAGACGCTGTACAGAGCAGGCTAAAGTAACAACACCGGCAGTTTATCGGGCAAGAAATGTTACAATCAAATGAAAGCCAAGCTAAAGCGTAATCATTCTCAGAAGCCATGGATTTAGATCTTGGACAAAGGTCTGTCATAAATCATGCAATTGATTTATTTATTGCATGATAAATTGAATCAAACATAATAATTTTCATTCGTACTATTTATCAGTTGCCTCTTTTCTGCCAAAAAATGGAAAACAAAAGTCTTCAGTCTGGTGCATTGGTCTGCACTAGCCTCCCCCCCCCCCCCCCCCCCCTTTTTTTTGTTC